AGTACTTTGGTCCAAAAGGAAGCTGCCTACAGAGGACACGTGGCATATAGAAAAACCAATGATTAGATTTACCAGCAACGGTGTTTCTGGGAACCTTCCAGGATGGCACACCTAAGAGGTGAGAGGCTTCTCCCTGCCGTAACCACAATCAACTTACAGCTGTTATAAGTCCCCTCCCTTCGCCCCTCAATTTGTCATAAAGTAACTCCCAAAACCAGTCTATGAGGGGAATAATTCCACATAGGTACTCACCACCTACTACTTTTAAGAGTTTTCTCCGCCTTAACAGGATGTGAAGTAGACCTGCAATCCTGGAAGGTTCCTATCACCTTCCAGGATGGCACACCTGAGAAGATAATCAAGCAACCACAGGCCAACCTTAGGGTGGGACCACAGTCCATAGCACCTTCTGGCCAAAGGCTAAGTCCTACTGTGACAGCACTTCAATCCGGTCATGCTTCAAGAAGGTGTCTTAACTGGACCAGGTGGCTGCACTGAGAATCTGTTCCTAGGAGGCCCCTGCTTTCTCTGCTCAGGACGTAGCCATGGCCCAGGTTGAAAATGTTTTTACCTTTTGCTGAGCCCTCATAAGCTAGGGCAATAGTTTGCATTATCCACCTGGGGACTGAAGCCTTAGAAGTTTGGCGTTCCTTTCTTGGTCCAGAATATAGGACAACAGAAGGTTGGCTCTTCTAAAATCCTTTGCCCTCTGCAAATAAGTGAGGAGACACCTCCACATTTCAAGACAATTACATTTATTTTCCTTTGCATTTCTAGGGTTATCACAGAAGGATGACAAGGTTATCTCTTGTGTCCTATTAAATAAGGAAGCTACCTTTGGTAGATACATTGGATCTGGCCTGAGGGTGACCCTATCTGGCAGAATCAACAAAAAGGCTTTGATTGACAAACTTTGTAGGTCCCCCTAGCCGTGGTGATAGCCAACAAAAAAGACAATTTTAAGTTAAAAAACTTAAGGGGGAACCTACTCTATTGGTTCAAAAGGGTGCTTTGATAAAGCCTCTAGCACCCTGATCAGATCCCACAGTGGAAACTTTCTTTTGTGGCTGGGGCAATTCTCTCCCCGGTCACTAAAAACCACTTAACTAAAGCTTCTTTAGCCAATCTAGAAAACTAATCAAGAAAAACTGAAAGCACTGCAATTTGCACTCAAAGGTTGCTGACCACCACCCCTCTTTCTACACCATCCAGGAGAAATTCCAGGATTATTGGAATAGAAGTAGAAGTTACCTGTTTCCATTTACACCTTGTACAAAAGGTTTTCCATACTTTTGAGTAAATTTTCCTAATCATGCGTTTTATGTTTAGGAGAAGAATGTCTCTTACCCTATCTGAACAACCCTTGCCCTTCAGAATCCAGTGCTCATTAACCAGGCCATTACCTGAAAGAACTCCAGTCTGAGGTGCACCACTGAACCCTGTAGAAGAAGATCTGGAAGAATCAGAAGTTTTCAAGGCAGTGCTACCAATAGTGTTTTCGTGAACCACGCCCTCCCTGGCCACCAAGGAGCAATCAGAAAGAGGTGTCCTGATGATGGGCTGAGTTTCTGAAGAACTTGCGGGATTAACGCCAGGGGTGGAAAAGTGTCAATTCCAGCTTGAACTGTCAGAACTGCATTAAGGCATCTAAGCCTTCTCAGTCTTTCTCTCAAGGTATTGAGAAGAACCTCCTCACCTTCCTGTTCTTGCCATTTTCAAAAAGGTCTGTTTCTGGGCTGCCGAATCATTGAACCTCTTGCGGATTCAAATCCCAATTAATATCACAATTACAGGAATAAATATATCATTTACATCAAGATTGACAGACTATTTTGCTCCCAAAAGAAATATATTGCATATATAGATTGAACACTTTGATACTCAATGGTTTTTTATTAGGCTGCTTACAGACATCTACTATTGGACACTAGAACTACAACCTACAGGTTTGGGAACCACAGTGCCATCAGCAGGCAATCCAATTCCTGACAAAGACTATTCTGAAGTCAAATATGTAAAAATCTTGTAATTAACAGGTATTGACCTTGGGAACAATGCAGCCGCCTTCTTGCTTTATTCAAACTGCTTGTCTAGGAAACATTACAAGCAATCCTATTAATACACCTGGTGAAGGCAGGCAGGTCATGTGTTTCCTTACTCTGGAGACAGGAATCACTTCTACCATTCAACTGCAGTCATCCAAAGTCACAGAGAGTGTGTGGAGGATCTGAGAGTGACATTATATAATCTTTATGTAAAAGTTAGAAAAATGGGGTATTGTTGGATGGAATTTGTATATTCCAAGGAATATCAACACCCAATGATGGGCACCTAGACCACGTTTTCAATCTCTGTATTAGTAAGCCAGACATTTTGCTGGCAACTGTTCTTCCGCTAACCTGCTTCCATCTGTCAGGAATGGACTCACCAATAGTGGTGGGACTCACCTGCCTTGTGGGTTGCAGTACCAGGACTGGCCAGCGGGTGCTCTCAGCAACCAGAGGCTCACTCCTGCAGTCAGCCAAAACACCTGAGGCTGATTGCAGAAGGTGCATATAAGGAATGTCCAGGCCTGTGATCAGGGCCTTGGTGTATGTTTTCCCAAGAGCCCATGTACCTGCATCCTGTCTGCTTCCTGTCTGATCCTGCTTGATCCCTGACTCTGATTGAACTCCGCCTGTCCTGACCTCTGCTATTCCTAACCACTCTCCAGTCTGCTCCTTTGTACCTTGTCTGCCTGATTGTTCCTGACCCGGCCCGTCTGACTATGCTCTGCCTGCTCCTTTGTACCTTGCCTGCCCGTTTGCTACCAACCCGGCCTGCCCGACTACGCTTAGTATTGTTCTTTTGTTATCTGTTGGGGGGTTTGGTTTGGTTTGTTTGCACTGTGTTTATGTTTAGTCTTGCACTGCGTTTATGTATTGTTTAGTCTTAAATAAATTATATTGTTTATACTATATCTAAAACCTGCGTTTCCCTGTGTCAGTCCACACACCTCTGGTCATACCCAGATCCCTAACACCCCCACTTGCTCTCCTTACATTATTTCTATTTACTAACTCCCCTTCTCATCCTTTTTTTTTCCACTTTCTCTTTTTCTCCCTTTTACTTACCCATCTTGGCTGTTCCTTTGAACAAAGATAGATGTCTATAAAACTAATGTAATTGCCCATCAGAAAGGTTGAGAACCTAAAACATTCAAATGAATACTTCATTTGAAATTCAGCTGATGTTTATTTATACAATGTCATATATGTTTGTATTATTAATGCATCATACCTGGACTTTTGTTATGTCAGATATCAGTTGTAATTTGTCATTTTCTCTGCAATGTTACTTTCATATATAAAAATAAGGATTTGCAAAAAAAAAAAAATTGGAAACTGGATCATCTTTCCATCTTCATTTATGGCACAGTCAGGCACTTACATGTTGTGCAGTGTGTCTGTGCAATGTTTCAGGCTCTTCTCTCTTACATAGTACACTGCAATTTTGGTTTCACAACAAAAACTGCCTTATCTCCTTCTTCCATTGTGGACTAGTTAAACCACTCAACATGTCTGTGCAATATTTGTTAGTCTTGTCTCTGGCATAATAGATAGTAATTTTATTGCAAGATAAACACTCTCCTGCACCGAGACCTAATAACGCTACTTACCTTATGAGTAACATGTCTGAGCAATATTAAATGCTCTTATCTCTGACATAATACCTTCTCTTTTTTTTTTCGTGATAAAAAACTTAGTCAAATTTTTCTGCTCCACTATGGGCTAGTAAAAACTCTAAAATGATGTGCAGCATGTCTGTGCAATGTTTCAGGCTCTTGTTCTGAGATAATAATACACAGTGATTCTTACTTCACAATAAAACATGGCTCATTCCTCCTTCCCCCATTGTGGACTAATAAAATCACTTACATAATTTCTAATTCTTGATAAAAACAGGTCTTTCTCTCCCTCTCCTATTGCAGCCTAGAAAAAACACTTACATGTTGTAAGTCTTTAATTGCTCTTGTCTCTTGCATAACGCACCAGCATTTTTATTTAATTATAAAAACTGGTTTATCTCTCCTTCTTCATTGAGATGGTTTACACTGTCATTTTTATTTCACAATAAAAACTGCTGCATCTTCCCCTCCTCCATTGCAGTCTAATAAAACCACTTGCATTATTTGCAGAATGTCTGTGCAATATTTCAGGCTCTATTCACCAATGTAATACACTTTCATTTTTATCTAACAATAAAAACTGGCTTGTCCTTCCCTCTTCCTTTGTGGCCCAAAGTGTAGTAATAAGCAATACAAAAAATATTTTCTTATAATTTGCCCACAAGTATTTTACTCCCATAGTCACAATCAGTCAGTCTTAAAAATGTATTTATTACAGATATTAATATAGTGCCATCAATTTATACAGCACTTTAAACATATATTATATATTCACAACAGTCCCTGCCCTCAAGGACCTTACAATCTAAGGCCCCTAACTCATATTGACACGCATACAGTACAAGGGCCAATTTAGACAGGAACCAATTAACCTACCATGTCTTTGGAATGTGGGAGGAAGCAGGAGTATGTGGAGGAAACCCACACAGAGAGACAATGTATACTCTAGGCAAGTATTGCCATGGTTGGAATGCAAACCGATGACCCTAGTACTGCTAGACAGAAGTGCTAACCACTTAGCCACTGTACTGCCCAGATTGGTTTGTACCCAAAGATAAAAAGAAATATGATACTATTACCCATGTTTATTAACCAGTTGCTGACCGCAGATAGCCGAATGACGACTAAACTGCGGCCGGCCAGTTCTGAGTGGACGTCATATGACGTCCTCCCAGAACGCGCTCTCCTGCGCGCCCCGGGGCGCGCACCCAGCGATCTCCGTGATCGCTGTGTCCTACGGACACAGCTGATCACGAGATGTGGTAAAAGGCCAATCATACCGGCCTTTTACCACGTGATCAGCGGTGTCCAATGACACGCTGATCACAGGGAAATGCAAGTACCGGTTCTCGGCTGCACTTTCCTCACGCTGTCAGATCGTGAGGAAAGTACTGCCGAGGGCAGTTGTCAGAGCGAGGATCGGCACCGATCATCAGGGCCACTGATGATCAGTGCCCTGATGATCGGTGCCCAGCAGTGCCACCCACAAGTTCCGCCCACCTGTGCCCAGCAGTGCGCCCACTAGCACCGCCCACCTGTGCCCAGCAGTGCACTTACCTGTGCCCAGCAGTGCACCCACCTGTGCAACTCTGCAGTGTCACACACCTGTGCCCAGAAGTGCCACCTACCTGTGCCCAGCAGTGCCACCCACCTGTGCCCACCCACCCGTGCCCACCAGTGCCACCCACCTGTGCCTACCAGTGCCACCCACCTGTGCCCACCCACCAGTGCTGCCCACCAGTGCCACCCACCAGTGCAGCCCAGCAGTGCTGCCAGTCAGTGCCACCAGTCAGTGCCCAGCAGTTGTGCCAGTCAGTGCCGCCAGTCAGTGCCCAGCAGTGATGCCAGTCAGTGCCATCTATCAGTACCCATCATCAGTGTCACCTATCAGTGCTGCCTATCAGTGCTGCATATTAGTGCCGCCTATCTGTGACACCTCATTAGTGCTGCCTATCAGTGCCGCCTATCCGTGCCACCTCATTAGTACTGCCTATCAGTGCCCTTTAGTGCTGCCTATCAGTGCCCATCAGCTGCCTATCAGTGCCCATCAGTGCTGCCTCATCAAACACACATCAGTGAAGGAGAAAAAATACCTGTTTGAAAAATTTTATAATAGAAACAAAGAAACTTTTTTTTTTTTTCAAATTTTTTGCAATTTTTTAATTTATAGCGCAAAAAGTAAAGTGTCCAGTGGCGATTAAATACCACCAAAAGAAAGCTCTATTTGTGAGAAAAAAATTATCAAAATTTCATATGGGTACAATGTTGCATGACCGCGCAATTGTCAATCAAAGTGCGGCAGCGCTGAAAGCTGAAAATTGGCCTGGTAAGGAAGGGGGTATAAGTGCCTGGTAGGTAAGTGGTTAAAGTATCAGTATTTATATACCTACATGGCAATGTTGGTGAAATACTGCAGAAAAAAGGCAATACAAAATATATTAAAATATTCATGTATTAAAAATTGCCAGTAGTACTTTACTTCCATATCTACCAGTGGTCTAAATAAATGGTATCCAAGATAAAAGAAATGTCTGTTAAAGCATCTGTATTTATTTCTCTTCATGATACTATCAATGACAATGTTACAGACTATAACTGAGATATTGGATATATGTGAACAAACAATATGCAGTTCTTTTCTGGTTTTATTGAATATTGGCATAAATGTTATATTCAATGTTAGGGAGGAGAGTAAATGGATATATGTAGAAACATGATGCAGATGCTTCAGTGCAGAAACTTCAACTTTTTAATTAGGCTTACATACTATATTCTGCAGAAGATAAATGCATTTATGAATGCCTTGTCTGTTAAATTTAAGATTTTGAACACCGAATACCAAAATAATTTGTTTAGCACAATATAATGCTTGGATCTGTTATAATCACACTTTAATTGCATTTGAGTTCCAGGGGAACAGATGTTTCTAGGTCAGTCCAAAAAATTAAACTAGCCATTCTGTCCCATTTAAACCACTTATTTAAAAACAGCATATTACATTTTAATTTCTGTTTAGCAATTTAAAAAACTTAAATAAAACCTAAGTGGCTAAATTGGTCACTGGATATTTTTAATAAGCCAATTACTAAAGTAAAAATATTTTTTTAGATATGACTATAATCCCATATGTAAGTATAATACTTTTATTGGACAGCACTGCTAAGGGAAAGCTATGATCACAAAATTATAAAAAGAATAAGATAAATAGTGGAATTGACAGTTATTTGTAGCATAGCGCTGATAAAAAAATGAAGTAAGTGTATTCAGCAATTCAGAGAACCATAAACACACCAACAATTGAGTACACTCCATGATACTTTTTTATTTGCACTAACATACAATTTTCAGGACAAGCTTTTGGGGTATGTCCCCTTCTTCAAGGTCCAAGGACATACCCCAAAAGCTTGTCCTGAAAATTGTGTTAGTGCAAATAAAAAGTATCACGGACAGTACTCAATTGTTTCTGCCGCAAGTGCACTAATACAGCTACAATCACCTCAAGCATAAACACACCACAAATGCATTCACTATTGTAAGGGCGAAACAATTAGAAAACAGACAAAAGTCCTAAAAGTATCTAAATCCCAAACTTTTTGTGGTGGGGAAGCATTGAAATCCTACAGAACAAGAAATAAATCCCCCTAAATAAAATCTATAGATACCAACAATCCTAATGCAGTAGTATTTTGAAACAAACAATATCTAATGTACTGTAAACTCTATAATATGCCAAAAATATAGTGCCATCAATTTATGTGTGAGGTGGGGAAACAGCTCTCATTCTTTGGACACTGTTTGTGTGGAAGTAAATTAATGTTTTGACTGACATTCTGCGGTTTAGCCACAAGATGTCACTGTTTTTCTAACACAGCCTCAGACTGCATAGATATTTGTATATTCATGAAGAGGTGGGGTTTTGCACACAGAGTTGGAGAGAACAGGAAAGAGAGAGAGAAGCCATGTTTTGGAGCATGGTGAATGGGGGGCCGTGTGAGTTGAGAATCTGATGACATACAGGTGTGGGGGCGTCCCTCAGTGGCCAGAGCTGCAGCTGAGTGAAGCTGATGAGATTGCTGCCAGGAAGCTGATGAGATTGCTGCCAGGAAGCTGATGAGATTGCTGCCAGGAATGCTGATGAGATTGCTGCAGGGAGGCTGATGAGAGCAGAGGAACTAAGCAACATATACTGCAAGACCGCATGCTTGTTGGAGAGACATTTGTTCTGTTCAGAGTCACCAGCGGATGCAAAGCAGACCCGGGTCGCTAAGATCGTGTACGCACCTCATTTCAGTGTTGGCGCCTTGAGACTGAGTCCAGGCCTATAGTTAGTTAGGGTCTCTGTTTCTGTTTGTTACTGATTATTGGAAGGACTCCACAACTTAAAGTGACATTTCACATTGGAAAGCTGATACAATCCTACAAACTCAAGCCAGACTGCCGTTTTGCTCAGAAGGAATACTCAGGCACGTGCTACAGGACCAGTTATGGGAGAGGAAATACTGTAGATTTGTGTAAGATTGTAAGCTGTTGTGCTGCACCACAGTCTAGCCCATACCATACACCCCTGACACTGATTACTGCTCTTTTAGGGTAATAACAGGTAAGGTGTGGCAGCTTATTTGTGCCCACCAATAGGTAAATTACTTCACTTTCTACCTTCATCCATCAGAAGGCGCCGTACTGTGCAGCACAAGGGTCCCAGCCTTTGGGCTGGGTGTATGTAAATTTATTGTATGTTTCCAGCATTTGTGGTTGTGTTTATTTGCCACATCTAAGTAAAATTCTGTTGTGGCAAAAGCTGGTGTTGGGGTTGCTTTCTTCATTCGTGACTTCACTGTATCCTGGGGAGCCCACCCCGGTACATGGCTTACAACTGCAGCAATTTACACATTAATATGCCAAAAAAATCTAAAATAAAATCACATAGTTTGTCTTGGAATTCTAGTTACAATCAACACTGTAATTGTCATAGGTCTCAACAATATTCCATACTACCAATATTTCACATATGGATATTTTTATGATGGCTCCAAGACTCTTTGGAATTATTGCCTCTAAAAGCATTTCATGAACAACGTTTGCTTCTTCAAGACGCTGTTAGCAATGAGTGTAGATCCACAATATACAGTATAATAGTAGTAAAATACATAGTAGTGGTACATCCACTTCAGCTCCAGAAGGTTTTACAGCCTTCATGACCAGGCCATTTTCTGCTACCTAGCATTGAGCTACTTTAACTGGTAATTGCATGATCATGCAATGCTGTGCCAAAACAAAACTCACATCTTTTTTCACACAAACTGAGCTTCATTTTGATGGTATTTGATCACCACTGTTTTTTTTTTTTTTTTATATTATATAACCGAGAAAAAAAAAAAAAAAATATATATATATATATATATATATATATATTTTTTTTTACTGTTATAAAACATATCCACTCAAAAAATGCCATGTACCCGGAAGAGGCCAGCAACTTACAGGTACGTTTTTGTGCGTGTGTACGGGCCTTCTGCTCATAGTACATTGTGGCCTGGCGGTCCCGAAGCGGATATACAATAGTAGTATAATACAATACAATAGTATTACATTACATCCATACAGTAAAAATAAAATGCTAGTATTCACAATATATTGCAGATACCTAGAATAATATCCATTCATTATAAAAGCACAATACCATAATGTAATGCAGAGATCTGATCAGCTATAAGGGATCACGGACCAGAAGGAAAGAGGGGACCCACAGAGGATATCATATCCAAGGCAAACGTGGCATACTGAAATCGATGCATAGGGTGTGATATATATTTCAATACAGGGCACTTTTACCCCCTTCCTGCCCAGGCCATTTTTCAGGTTTCAGCGCTCTCACACTTTGAATGACAATTGCACGGTCATACAATATTGTACCCAAACTAAAATTTTATAATTTTCTTCATGCAACTAGAGCTTTCTTTTGGTGGTATTTAATCACCACTGGGATTTTTATTTTTTGCTAAATTAACAACAAAAGACAGAAAATTTTGAAAAAAAAACACGTTTTTCTTTGTTTCTGTTATAATTGTTTGCAAATGAATAATTGTTCTTCATAAATTTAGGACAAGATGTATTCTGCTACATGTCTTTGGTGAAAATAACCCAAATTAGGATGTATTATTTAGTTTGTAGGAAAGTTATAGAGTTCACAAACTATGGTATAGATCTGAAAATTGATCAATCCTGAAGTACTGACGGCCAATCTAATTTCTTGAGGTCCAAGAATGTCAGAACAGTACAGATATCCCCCAAATGACCCCTTTTTGCAAAGTAGACAGTCCGACGTACTTCATAAGAGGCATAGCGAGTTTTTTGAAGTTGTATTTTTTTGTCATAATTTTTCAGGAAAATTTAAAAATTTAAAAATTATTTTCACTATTTTATTTTACATACTGTCACCAGTGCAGTACAGCATCATCATATACCTGGCATGGCGGTGATCAGGGACACTGACTGGTGACAGTATGAAAAAAAATATATATAATTTTCTTTTTTATTATTATTTTTAATTTTTTATTACTTTTTTTTCTTTTTTTAAGAATTTTTTTTTCATATTTCACTATGACCAAAGTAGTACAATGTTACCATAGTAACATTGTACTACTTTGGGGAAGTGATCAGTATTTTTTTTTTTTACACAATTTGCTTATAGCAAAGAATTACTTTGCTATAAGCAAGCATTTACCTGAATGACATTGATTCAGTCAGGGTTTTTTTTTTTTTTTTGTGCTTAGCTGTGATTTGGCCATGGCTAATCACATGACACAGCTGGGCTGTGATTGGCCCAGCTTGTACATATGATCGCTGTGACCAATCACAGCTAGAC